ATTGCAGCTCTGGGCTGCTACAGGTTCTGCTGGCTCTGGGCATCCGAATGACTGCCCGGCCTGGGCCCAGGAAGTGTGGAGGATGAGGCTGTCTGATTCAAATGCAGAGGGGACAAGTGCAAGAGTGGTGGTGGAGGGGGGGAATTTGGAGCCAGGCATGATATAGGGGGCAGAAATTGGGACTGAAGTCTGGCAGCGGGGAGAGAGAAATTGGGACAGGGAACTATGGGTGGTGGAGACAGGGACTGCAGGCTGGGGTGAGGGGAGACTGCAACTGGCTGGGCAAGGAGATTGGGAGACAGGAGAGGGAAAGGGGGAGGGGCAGGAGCCAGTAGGTGGTGGGGAGACTGAGATTGGATAAGGAGTCAGAGAGAGACTGGGACAAGGATCGGGGGAGGAGCACACACAAATTGGAGAAGGAGCCCAGGGAGGGAGATTGGAACTGGGAGCCAGTGCTGAAGGGGAATGTGGATAGGAATGGCAACTGGAAACCAGGGCTGGGAAGAAAGACAGATTGGATGAGGAGCTGGGAGGGAGGGAACTGGGACTAGCTGGAAAAGGAGACTGGACCAGGAGAAAGTATGGAGGGATAAGAGTAGGACTTGCTGGAAAAAGAAACTGGGACTGCAGTCAGAAACCTGAAGAGTGGAGACTGGGACAGCCTAGGTAACGAGAATGGTGCTGAGAGGAGGAACCGGGGGTGAGAAAGAGACAGGACTGGGACCAGAAACAGGTTTGAAGGGATGATACCGGAAGGTGTCATGCTAGGGAGCAATGTGCAGAAGAGTCTGTGTCAACTCAAGCACTTTCCCCTCCCAATCCTGGAATGGAACCCAAGATTCCTGAGTCTCACCATTCCTCTGCTGTCAGCATTATCTGTGAAGCTCACTGGAAAAGTGTTTCATCCCTCTCTAGTGCTGGGCCACACTGAGGATGATGACCTATTACTGCTATCAGTTATTCCAGTAGCTTAAGTAGCAGAGGTCTTTGTGGTTGCTCTAAAAGTTCTAACCCTGCTGATGACCCAAATGGAAGTAAAGATGACACATTATGACATTTCTGGTTTTCAGCTTGCTTTTTTAAAAACCTAGGAATTCTCATGCACAAAATCTCGATTAGAAGAACACTATTAAGATTGCAAAATCAAGCTCTTACAAGTTAGGAAATATCAGAATTAAGGTTGTCTGGGCAACTTTAATTTGGGCCCCATGTACATGTGCATTATAATACATTCTTCAATTATATTATCACAAAAACAACAAGGAGTCTGGTGGCACCTTAAAGACCAACAGATTTATTTGGGCATAAGCTTTCGTGGGTAAAAACCTCACTTCTTCGGATGCATAGAGTGAAAGTTACAGATGCAGGCATTATATACTGACACATGGAGAGCAGGGAGTTACTTCGCAAGTGGAGAACCAGTGTTGACAGGGCCAATTCAATCAGGGTGGATGTAGTCCACTCCCAATAATGGAGGAGGAGGTGTCAATTCCAGGAGAGGAAAAGCTGCTTCTGTAAAGAGCCAGCCACTCCCAGTCCCTATTCAAGCCCAGATTAATGGTGTTTAAAATTCATTTGCAAATTTGTTCTGCTGTTTCTCTTTGAAGTCTGTTTCTGAAGTTTTTTTGCTCAATTATAGTGACTTTTAAATCTGTAATAAAATGACTAGGAAGATTGAAGCGTTCACTTACTGGCTTATGTATGTTACCATTCCTGATGTCCGATTTGTGTCCATTTATTCTTTTGCGGAGGGACTGTCCGGTTTGGCCAATGTACATGGCAGAGGGGCATTGCTGGCACATGATGGCATATATAACATTAGTGGATGTGCAGGTGAATCAGCCCTTGATGGTGTGGCTGATGTGGTTGGGTCCTCTGATGGTGTCACCAGAGTAGATATGGAGACAGAGCAGGCAACGAGGTTTGCTACAGGGATTGGTTCCTGGGTTGGTGTTTCTGTGGTGTGGTGTGTAGTTGCTGGTGAGTATTTGCTTCAGGTTGGGGGGGTTGTCTGTAAGTGAGGACTGGCCTGCTTCCCAAGGTCTGTGAGAGTGAAGGATCATTTTCCAGGATAGGTTGTAGATCGTGGATAATGCGCTGGAGAGGTTTTAGCTGGGGGCTGTATGTGATGGCCAGTGGTGTTCTGTTATTGTCCTTGTTGAGCCTGTCCTGTATTAGGTGATTTTTGGGTACCCGTCTTGCTCTGTCAATCTGTTTCCTCACTTCCCCAAGTGGGTATTGTAGTTTTACGAATGCTTGGTAAAGATCTTGTAGGTGTTTGTCTCTGTCTGAGGGGTTGGAGCAAATTCGGTTGTATCTTAGAGCTTGGCTGTAAACAATGGATCGTGTGATGCGTCTTGGATGGAAGCTGGAGGCATGTAGGTACGTATAGCGGTCAGTAGGTTTCCGGTATAGGGTGGTGTTTATGTGACCATCACTTATTTGCACTGTAGTGTCCAGGAAGTGGATCTCTTGTGTGGACTGGTCCAGGCTGAGGTTGATGGTGGGGTGGAAATTGTTGAAGTCCAGGTGGAATTCTTCAAGGGCCTCCTTTGCGTGGGTCCATATGATGAAGATGTCATCAATGTAGCGCAAGTAGAGGAGGGGCACTAGGGGATGAGAGCTGAGGAAGCGTTGTTCTAAGTCAGCCATAAAAATGTTGGCATACTGTGGGGCCATGCGGGTACCCATAGCAGTACCACTGACTTGAAGGTATAAGTTGTCCCCAAATCTGAAGTGGTTGTGGGTGAGGACAAAGTCACAAAGCTCAGCCACCAGGTGTGCTGTGGCCTCATCAGGGATACTGTTCCTGACAGCTTGTAGTCCATCCTCATGTAAAATATTGGTGTAAAGTGCTTCTACATCCATGGTGGCCAGGATGGTGTTTTCAGGAAGAACACCAATGCATTATAGTTTCCTCAGGAAGTCGGTGGTGTCTCGAAGATAGCTGGGAGTGCTGGTAGCGTAGGGTCTGAGGAGAGAGTCCAAATAGCCAAATAATCCTGCTGTAAGAGTGCCAATGCCTGAGATGATGGGGCTCTTTTCCACACAGCCCTGCCTCATTTAGTCCATGGGATGAACCTGCTCTGAGGATAAATAAGGGCTGCGTAGTAAAAAAAGGCTGTTGTCTGTAGAACTTCTGTCTCATTTGTTGCAGAAGCGGGAAGGTGTGTAGTGAATAAAGCAGGAAACTACAGGAAGGGAAAGGAGGGTCTCAAGGTTAAGGCGGGTCTCAAGGTTAAGGCAGATGAAGGCTGCCCTAAAGAACAGGAATCTATCCCTGCCTTTGTCACAGAATTCCTCTGTGATGCTGGGCAAGTTGCTTAAACCACATTTTTCACAGTAGTTGTATGGGCCTGACTTGGGACTCTGAGACCTAATGTGCAGAAGTGCTGAATACTCACAGCTGCAACTGAAGTCAGTGGGAGCTGTGCTTCGAACATATGAAATGGTAATTACTGTGAAAAATCAGCTCCTTAGTGTTTTATATTGGGCACCAAAAATTCATGGATACTTTTTACTACTATCTTTCTATGCCCCCATTCCCTCTCTTTAAATGGGGACAATAATACACACTCATCTCACAGGGGAGCTGCGAAAATAAATTTGTTTGTGAAGCACTCAGAGATATTACTAGAGTGATCACCACTACAGAAAACCCCCTGAGGATATTACTAATTCTGTCTGCAGAGCAAGGTTTGAATATTGTGCAGTAAATAAGGCTCAGGGCCACACCCTGAACAATGGGGAGAAAACAAAACATTGAATAGCTGCTCATTAATTAAGCACCACCTGTCCTGTGCACTGAATGAGGCAGTGTTCTGAGGGAAAAAATAGAATGTGAAAATACAATTAAAGATTATCATAATACTGATGCACAAAGGGACAGAATTAAATTTGCACAGGCATTCTTAATTCTGGCATTTCATAATGTTTGAGTGCCTGATTTTGCAACCTTATTAGTGCTATTTTAAGGTAGTTCTTTTGTGTATAATATGCGTGTACAGTGCTTAGAATATGGAGACTCCAGATGCTAACATAATGTCAGCAATCATTATAAATGGCTTATTGTTTCAATGAGTGTCCGGACCATGGAGATATCTGCAGCTGTACAGCTCTGAGAACCACTGCTTGCTATGGGATCACTCCATGAAAAAGAAAGATGGTGTGGAACAGTTTCTTGTACCCAATCCTCAGTAAGGAATCCTCTGTTGGTTTTAGTAGGAGATAATAAACAACATTCCTTTATGCGGTTCCCAAAAGATAACCTACAAGAATGCAAAGCTAAGGCTCTGTTATTTTAATTTAATCATCAAGTATTTATTAAATACAGGCTGATCACCAAACAGTATTTTGCCCAGAAACATACCAAAATCCATGCAAGAAATGTTTTGGCCAAATACTTTCTTCCCCTCTATGGTATAAGGCCTTTCAAGTAAAATGACAGGCAGTTGCCTCATTGTGCTCGAAAATAGTAAAGCTTGGTGTTTGTGTGAGCCAGCCAGATTCGTGCCCCCCGTTACAAGCCAAGGCTGAAATATTTCAGCAATGTTGTACTGAAAACGATGCTTTCCAGCGTCAGGATGCAACAACAAAATAGGCCAGCGGCTCTGAACTCAGTAAACTGGGCAGCAGACAATACCCAGGAGGAAACTACCCTGTGCTCACCTTACCCCTCTGCGTCGCACTCATTAGTGAGTATAAACCAATACACACAAGCTCGCCTATCTGCACGTGTTGCACAGTCTCCAAGAAACTGCTGCAAACCTCAGCGCTGAACGTGGACCAGAAATAATAAAAGCTACGTGTTCCTTCCCCCTACCCTCTCATTTCCCCCTTAAACCTTATTTTTAAGGGCTCTGGTGGCCACGAAGATGATTGGTGTATGTGTCTGTGTCCCCTGGAGCTAAGCTGGCTGGGTCAATCAATCAATCAGCGGAGGATCAGTGAGTCTGGGAGGAGAAGCTGGAGGCTGGGCGAGGGAGAAGTGAAAGGCAAAAAGCAGAGTAAAGGGAAATAAAATATTTGGGGCGGTTCACACGACATCAGCAGCAGCAGCAGCTCCCGGGCTGTGTCCAGCAGCTCCAACCCCGCCAGCTGTTGCAGCGCGAGAGGGCACGTGCGAGCGGTGCTGCCCGGGTGCTGCCCTGGGGAAGACACATAGGAAGGGGGCAGGCTTGTTGCCCATTTTCTCCTTCCTTTTCATTGCCCCGTGGCTGCGGCCGGCGACCCTCCGGTGCCAAGGGAGGGGCGGCCAAGCGCAGCAGAGACGCGGGGCAGCATCTGATCCGCTCCAGGGAAGCCGAGAAGCGGCACGCCCCGACCCCGGAGCAGCAGACGAAGCTTCCCCGCAGCGCGTTGCGCGATCGCAGGGGAACCCGCCCCAAGGCTGGGGAGGCAGCTCCCCGGCCAGAGGTGGGAAGCGCTCGAGCAGCCGGCGAGGGGAGGGGAGGGAGCGCGCTGTCCCCCAGCCCCTCACTTCAGGGGGTGGGGAAAGAAGCCCTGGGCAAAGGGACCTCCCCGCAGGAGAGACTGAAAAGCAGCCAGAGCCCAAGGAAAGTCCCCCTCCTCCCCCGCCAGCAGCGACTTTGCGACTGTCCCGGCCTCGGATCAGGATGCGGTTCCTGCTGCTGCTGCTCCCCGAGCTGCTCCTCCTGGTGCCGGCTCAGAAGTTCTCCGCGCTCACGGTAAGGCAGGCGGCTCCCCTCTCCTCCCATCAGGGGGGCTTACCAAACAAGCACAACCCTCGGAGCTCGCTATTTGCGGCCAGCGCCGGGAGCGAGTGTGAACAGTTTGGGGGCGCGTAGGGCGCACCCCGAAAACAACAAATCCTGGACCTGATCTCCTCTCTTCTCCCCTCTTAGGTCAGGCTAATGCGGAGGTTGAATGAAGCGTACAGGTCTTAGGGGGTGGCTCTAGGTGACTCTGCCCATGTGGGTTCTAACCTGTTCTAGTCCCTGAGATCAAACCTTCTCAGCCTGTCCTATGTGGACAAGGACTGATGGATTGCTGTATATTTCTGTAACTCGGTGGAGAGAGAAAAGGAGACCCCTCCCCTCCACCCTTTTCCAGCTGACAGTCCCTCCTGTCAGAGATCAGGGAAGCTGACTTTAAATAAAAACAGCACTGCATTGCTGTTCACCTTGCCTGTAAAACGAGCACTGGTTAGAGAGAGAGACGCAAGCTGGAGAAACTAAATAAGAAACCTGATAGTGGATGATTTCGAAGGGCAAAGTGTGCGAGTGATTTAGTAGGTCAGTAGCAAGAGAATTCAGCGCTCGAGTTTAGCCACAGATCAGGTAGGCATACAGGTTGAATTGTTGCAAGACAAATTCCTTCCCCTTTGCTTGTAATGTGCTAGGTAACTTTGCTGCTGCTGAAACGCTTTTCTGAGCCTCCCTGAGACAAGATAAAGTGATGGTGCGGGGAAAGAGGAAATAAAACCTCTCCTTCTTGCATCTATTTTAGATTGAAAATTCTTCAGTTTGTACATTAGAAACCTTTATTTGTGTGTATTGTACAACACAGAACCCATGGGTAATACTCCATAAAATGTACCATTTGCATTTTCCAAGGAACAAGATTAGCTATTGCAGTTAAATGGAAATTTACTATGGGTCTCCACAGAGCTTTAATATTATTGCCTTTATTATGCTGCAGTGGACTAACGTTGCACTGAAGGCTGCATTTAGAAATATGTGGATCATCTTAGGTTGACCATTTATTTTTTTAATTATAAAGCCCCATGAAACAGCCCTCCTTAGCTATTCTGGGGCCCCTGATGCTAAACATGGGACTATGTATAAGGATGGGTGAGCCAATTCATTAGGATTGCTAAATAAGCCATAATCACTTCTCTAGCCAAGACGTGAGGTTTGCAGCTAATAGCTCAGTTCAAGCTTCTTGTAGAGGTTGTAGTGTTTGCAAAACTATAATTAATGCGATCTGTAGAAATAAAAACACATTCATTAGCTGTGTTTTTAAATGTGTGCTTGAATAAACATAAAGGGCAGCTACCCATTTTCAGGCAGTTAAGTGTTTTGGTAAAGGATATTCAGTTTGGAGGTTTGTAAAGGGAGATGTATTCTAATTTTTTATCTTAGACTTTCAGACAATGAATGTTTCTATAAGATAGGTAAATGTTACAGTGTGATATTTTCAGAGGCTTGGGGGTGTTGCTCATACCTGACATTCCTCACAAGTTGTTTGGTTTCCCTGTCTAATTTATTGAAAATTATGTGTAGATTAACAACTGCTAACTAAAACTACAAAGCTCACTCCACTTTTGCAAGCACAGAACACATGAAATCAAGTGGAGTACCATAACACCACTTAGAAGGACTAGTTTTTAAACTGTCCTCTCATGGTGAGAGGATTTTGGGGGAAAAAAATAGCACAAGGTGATTTTTGGCACTGAATTCCAAGTTTGATTTCAAAAGCACGTTAGAATTTGAGTTGGTTGGTTACATGAACAAGATTTACAGAAACCAATACTTTGTTTTCTTTCCTTGGCCCACTATAAACATTTTAAATGATTGTGAATTAGAAAGGCTGTCAATCTTAGTTGTTCCATGTAACAGCAACTTCTGTTATATAACACCTTTCATCCCAAAGGATCCTAAAAGCATTTGACCACTAGATACATATACACTGCCACTGAAATGCAGCCATCTCTGGGGAGATGGATAGTAGCTCTACTGAAGTGGAAGAAGTGAAAGTTTGGCCAAGGAGACTGGGGTAAACCACTGTCTTATAAAAATGTAATATGTCCATACAAGGCAAATATAACTTTGGTTTCACCTGAAAGACCTCCCTCCCCCAAATAAACTATATGGCACTCAATTTATATACCTTGGAAGGATGAAAAGCTAAGTCAATTCTGAAGGAATTTGAACTTGTGCTTCCAGAGGGGTATTGAAGTTGGAAACTTGATGGTTAGGTTTGATCTACATTGGGCTTCTCACTGGTGGCAACCAGCTCTGGTATAGATGCATAAGTGCTAACTCCTGTAGGCAGTGAACCTAAGCCAGTTCTTCACAGCACTCCCTGTGGATGTGCTCTCACAGAGCTGGCTCATCAAACGTGTCGCTGTTTACATTAGAAACCTTTAATTCATAAAGTAGGTAATAAACGCCTGGATGCACATAGTCTGCAAACAGAAAATGTTAATCTTGTAAAAAATTTCCCATAAAAATAAACCTTGGGTCTTGAGTTTTGGTACCACGTGGGGTGTGGGGTGTTATTCCTACAAAATATTTGGAGACATTTCTTATTAAAATGGAAAGTGCAATATCACAGCAACAGTTAGCTCAATACTAAATCATTCTGTACTCTTCCTTACAGTCATTTGACTTGTAGTTCACAGTGTATCAATATGATAGTTATTTTTCTCCAGTTATGTACTCTTCACTCCTTATTTCTTAATACATTAGAGATATTGACTTCCCTGAGGTACTGACACAAAAGGATGCATTTTCATCTTGAGCACTTCTCAGAAATGTCAATAGGTGTTGTGTGTGAACCGAACCTGGAGTATTTGGGAGTGAAAGGAAGGGAAGTGTGTGTGTGTGTTTTAACCTGCTGCATCATTCTACAATGCTAGATTATCTTCCCCTGTATATAGAACACCCATCTCTTTTCCATGTGGCAAATGAAAGCTGCCCACCAATATCACGGCTGGGGGAGTAACTAACAGAGGCCAACATTTTCAAAAGTGGCCACAAATTGTAGGTATGTAACTTGACACACCATTGTGCTGAATTTCACAAGAGCTGAGTACCAACAATTCAGATTGAACTCAGCAGGAACTGAGTGCACTCAGTACTTCTGATAATTAAGCCTCAGGTGTTTTAGGCCAAAATCAGAGCATGCAGAATCAGTGGCCAGTTTTAAAAATGTGGCTCCATGGATCAGAAAACTCACTTTCTCTTATTTAGCAGCTCTAAGGCTTTAGATTTAGAGGAGAACTTGACAATGTTGAGGGTCAATTTTTATGTTTGGATCTGGCAAAATAGGAATTCTGGGGTTTTAGTTTTAACTTATTTCCCTGGTAGCCCTAGAAGCAGAGCAAATATTGCTTTCAAACAAGAGTCTATTGTCTGCTTTCATTTAATTAGGAATACATTCTTCAATTAAAATTCCCTTGGGGAAATAAAAAGCCCAGGGCTTAAATTAAATGGAAAAAATGATTTTGCAAAACTTGAAGTTTCACAAAACCCCAAAGGGAAAAGTTCAAAAGGTTTCACACAACTCATAACTCCAGTGGGTTCTCCAGTCCCTGGTAACCAACCTCATTTGTGGCTCCAGTGCTGAGCCACAGCTGGCCTCTAGTCATTGTGTAACTATGTGGCTTCCTAATGCCTTGACACTAGCAGCCAAACTGATTTCTGATGTGCACAGGAGTCAAAGACTCCACCACTGCATCCAAAGTTATAATCTGGTCCTTAAAATTATTTCAATCTTGCAGAGCTCTTGGCCTGTTCTCGTTCTAAGACTGCCTTTGCCAAGGTTTCTCCTGAACTCGTCTCCTGTGAAACATCATGTTGCAATGCCAGCCGAGTATGAATAAAGGGGGGGGAAATATCTATCCTATTAAAACACTGTCAACTACTAGTTGAGCCATTGTGCTGGGGGGAGATTTTTATGAACAAACATTGGCAACAGAACACTTTTCATTTTGGGAAGCTGGGGTGGGAACTATTTCATAAGTACACTATTTTAGGGGACATCTAGATAAGAAACTGTTCAATGTGAAGGGTCTGTAACCAATTTAGTTCCCCCTCCCTCTGTCAAACACCACTATACAAAGTCCTCACCTTCTAAAAAGAACTAAATAACTTTGTTCTGGAAACACTTCTATGGAATGACAGATGCGATTCTGCAACTCTTGCAGTATATTACTAGAATATTTTCATGGTGTATTACTTTTGTTATAGCATATAATATTTATTTAGCATCACAAATCTCATATCTATATCCATCTCCTTACTGAAATATATTGGTAGATGAGAGAACAGAACTAGGTGGCATGATTCCAATAAGGGCAGTCACATATTATGGATCTAGGTACTTTTGTGTTGAAATACAAAGCTTAATGTACACTCCATCTTTCTCTAGTTTAAGAGACACTTAGATTACTGCACTGATCCTGAACTGAAAACATGGGGCATCTTTAACACTATGTTTTTAGAACTATCACTGCAGCTTCTACCTCAGCTGGAGGTGTGTGTGTGTGTGTGTGTGTGTGTGTGTGTGTATTAATAGGATGCAAGTGTTTCTTATTTGAAAACATTTGCATTGTTCCTAATGTACCACAAATATTTAATTTTATGCCCAAAAGACATGCAGAATCATGTTTGTCTTTCAATTGAATATCAATCTTAGATCCTACCAGAAAAGAAAATTGTTTTTTGCATCTGGAGAAATCTCTTACTGAAATGTACACCTCAGCCTGTCAAAAGTTTCTTTCATCAGATGCTGAATATTTCAAGGAACAATTGTTTTCTTTTTCTCCCTAGGCACATGCTTTGTGAGTATTCAATAGCATTTAATGTCCTGGATAGGTTCCACAACACTCACCAATATAAGATGGACCACTAAGGTAGTTGAGTAGAGGGAAGCTAAACACAATCAAAGCTTTCCAAGTTAGGGACCCATTTGGATGGCGCCTACAAAACCCAAACATTTG